ATGCAGCTCCCATACACTCAAAACAGAGCCTTCGTTAGGGCTTCAAGTAGGATCACAACGCAAGAAAACTCGACGTGTACAGATGCTTTAGATGTCTAAAAAATCGTCCTTCACATCGCACTAAACATAGGTGCATCGAAAATACCATTGATAAAAGCCGTTTTTCGAGCCACTTGATCGACAATGGGACTAAGCAGTTTATCGAGAAAACTGGAGATACATCGTGCTGGTGCATTGATAGAAGCAATGATCGGTCGTACTGGTATGTCAGGTTATGAGAAAATGACAAGTCTTATATAAAAACACATGAACAATTTATTCCTTACTTTATGTGCTTTTGGAATGAAGTACAGATGAGCTAATTCCAATTTATGTTTGTCCGGTTGCATATCTTCCATTTGATCTTTGGTTATTCTTTTATTCTTGTACAAACAATCAAGCAAGCTCGTTACATCATTTAAATCGTCAGCCAATGGACAACGGCCACTGATGATCTCTTGATAAGCATTGGTCTTAGCCATATATTCCGTCGCTTTTCGCTCGAAATCACTAGCATTGGCAAAATAAAATACTTTGCTCTTATCTGTTGGTCGAGCGATAATATTTGAGTTTTTTAATCGTCGTTGAATCGATTTTACCATTTTATCATCGTATTCAGTACGCGCTGCCAATTTTCCTGACAATGGTGTAGTATAGAGTCGTTGCAGTAGCTGTTCCACCGAGGCAAAATGTTCAGTCGACGCACCACGACGCTTTTCGACTCGGCTAAGAGTCAGGCTAAGAGTCATCAGGTGGAATAATACTCTGCTGAACTAGTTCCATAGATATCTGTTGACGTATTGCATATCAAGTGACGTTTTCACGATGAAGTTATATATGTCACACAGACGATCAATTTACAGACAAAGTCAACAGTTTTAATGTCACGGTGCTAAAAAACAGATGTGTTTGAATACTCATCAGCGTGAACTAGTTATATAATGTACATGTGCACTAGCACAGACATCGGCAC